CCGCCTCTCTTTCTTCACCAGACTCTCTGGAAGCCTTTCTCCTCCTTTTGGCAGCGCTACTCAGGCATTTGCCATGCTTCCTTCGTTTTTTCTTTTTTTTTCTTCCTCCCCCTCCTCCTCTTCCTAATGAACAGACTTGCTTTCACCTCCACGGGCTACTCGCATGACTACCCCTCCTTCGTTGGAGGAGCTGCTACTGCTGCAGGACTAGTGGAATGAGGTTACTGATGCAGGCCGGGTAGGACGTACTCGTTCTTGCGGGCCAGTAGGGGTTTTGGGCATGTATGCCATTCGTTTTACTACTTCCGTAAAAGAGGCTTTAGCAGTAGGAGTCTCTGTAGAGGCCTCCTTTCTCTTAGAGGTAGGGGATGATAGGGTTGATTCCAAAGAAACAGCGGAGGTGCTGTGAAGTGCAGCAGGGGGGGGGCAGCGGCGGGGAGACAACTTTACCTGAAGGGCTTCAATTTCCTCCCCTTGTTTGCCAACAATGTCAGTCAGTGCATTTACTGCCTGTTCCAAAACATGAATTCGACTCCAGTAGTTTATTCCGTTTCTTGATCCTTCATCGTCAAAGGTGGGGCCACTGTTCATCCAAGTTCGTACGTCTTGTACCGTGTTGTCTTCAATCGACCCAGAGTCCGAGGAGAGGAGAGGCTGAGTATTACCTGACCGGATGTCCTCTAGGCCCTCCAACATAGACCCGATTACACTACCTGAGCGGGGTTCAGGAGAGGGAGTCCTACCAGTATCCAGCATCTCACAGATACCTGCCATGATTGAGTCCACCTGGGCCACTGCAGTGTCGGCATCCTCTGGTTGGGTCTCTGGGAGCTGTACTTCCAATGGGGTTGAATCACTACTGGGGGCTTCTAAGAGACCCTTCAGTTAGCCCCCAGGAGATGACACCCACCGTTCAATAATAGGTGGGGGTGATGAGCCCATAGCTGGTAAAGCGGCGTGTCTGCTATCGCCCAACCCAGTTGCTTCCGAGTTGCGTCCATCACCCAGGCCCATAAGGGTGTCCCTGGCCAGTACCTCAGAGGTAGGTAGGACATCCTCAGTCATTAGCGGGGATGGAGAAGGGAGTGTGGCCTCGATTGTCGATAGGAGCACCACAGGCGGAGGAATGGCCAAGCGCCCATGGTTAACATCCAGAGGTAGGCCAGGAAGAGCGGGAACAATCTGTTTTCTCCGTCCCTCATTGATGTTGATAGCCCTCAAAAATTGGGGACCAAGGAGAGGAGTAGCAGATCACTTAGCGGGAGATGCCGACCATGTCCAGCGGCGGGTTCCAGAGGCAGGAGGGTTATAGTCCTCGTTATTAGGGTCGTCCAGCTTGAACCTTGGGGTTTCATAAAGAGCCCTTTCGCCTGAAGGCATTCCTACCAGGAAGGAGGGAGTCGAGAAGCCGGTCTCATCATTGTGGGCCTGGTGGAGGAACCTGGGCATCTTGCTTTGGATAGCCCTAGTGAGGGGAGGAGTGGCAGACCAAGAGCTAGCTACAACCATGGTAGCAGTCGAGTCGTCCTTGGCAGGAGGGATGGAGGATTCAGGGACTATAGCCTGAGAATCTTTAAGAGGAGAAGGTACGGGAGCTGGAGAATATTCCGAGCCATGGTCCAAGTTGAACCGAACGAAGAGTCCTGTGGTAGTATCCTTGTTCAAGCCACACGTGGCTGAACAGCCTCTCCCAATTAGGAAACCTCTCACCAAAACCTCTACTTCTTTCATCGTGGCAACGGTCACGTCAGCGACTATTTGCCGAACCAAATCATCAAACTGCGGGTTAACCGCGTTCTGATACCCGTGGCAGTGGTGAAACTGTAGGAAACTAAAGTTCCCTTTGGGTGCGACGTACGACCGTGTAGTTGTGGGGATGAGGCCACGGTCGGCCTCAGTAGCGGGCGAAAGAGATAAGGCCACACGGGCTGTCTTAAGCGAGGAGGAAGGGTAGGAGCCAAACTGAACAGGGGACGACATCCTTGAAGGGGGGGGAGAATCCGTGGATGAGGAGGCTGTCGAAGACGCCATCCTCACCTAAACTATACTCAGTGATTACCGGGACCAGGTCACAGATATCTCATACTGAAGTATCTTCTAAGCGAGAACAACTACTGCTAACCGACCGCCCGAAACGAGAAACACAAACAAGTAACAGTAGATGAAGTATTTATCACGAGCGAAATAAGGTAAAGTATTGGTTATACTCACTTCCAACACGGAGTGCAAGAAGTAGGAAAAGTACTTAGAACAAAGCATGAAGAACCAATCCTCCTCGGCCACATCGGCCTCGTTATATAGTATTCTTCCCATCAGTAGTCATGTGACCCAAAGTGGTCACATGTGTGAAACCAAATCATAACAAACTAATCATGTGACCAAAGTGGTCACATGTTCAAAACCCATGACCTCATAGCAAGGTCATGTGTAAAAACTCATAAACCAATCATAATACAATAAACAAGTCATATGACTTGAATGAGTCATATGCGCGAAACCCATAACCTCATAATGAGGTCATGTGCAAAACATAAATCATATGTGTAAGGCATACCCGCAAGGCACACTCGCAAGGCATTCTCACCAGGTGCATGTCCCATGACTCATAATGGAGTCATTTATGAAACATAACATAATAAGTCATATGACCTAAATGAGTCATATGTGTGAAACAATAATATACCTATGACTCATAATTATGAGTCATGTGAAAACCTTTTCTGTGCCAAGCCACATTCGTGACAAATATTGACCTTGTTGCTCAAATTATTGACCGGTCCTAGACAACAATTAAAAGCTTTCTTGCCTATGCTTGAGAGCACTAATCTCTGGATAACCTTCCTCACCGTGGTTGCATACCTATTCACAGCTGTCAGTATTATCGCATAATTGTCTGAGTAGCTAAAAACAACTGGAACATGACCAGATCTGTCTTCAGGGATAAATATACACCAGACATTTCTCTTTTATATAGACTGGTAATTCCTCTTGGTACTAGCACTACCATGAATGATAGACTATGATTAACTAACTAATATCAACAAAAAAGTAGATAGAGTACTCAGAGAGGCCAATATCAAGAAATGGCTTGCCAAATCAAGGCCTAGGCTTAAATCTGAGCATGTAGTAAAGAGATTAAGGTGGGCTACTATTCGTAGGGATTGGACAGTAGAGGATTTTGAAGCCGTGATTTGGAGTCATGAGTGTAGTGTGGAGAAATTCAAGGATCCAAGGCAGCAATAAGTATTTCGAGAACCTGGAGAGAAGTGGCTAGCTGATTGTGTTTATTTAAAGGAAAAGGATAAGGGAATTTCGCTTATGATTTAGGGTGCTTTTGGGGTAAGAGAAAAGGTTTTTTAATTTCTATTACTTAAAATATGAATAAGATCAGGTATGTTGAGCTTTTAAGAAAAAATACTTTTCCTGTGATTCATCAAATAATCTCTTTTAGCATGCAAGATATTCTGTTTCAGTAAGACAATTCTCCTGTTCACAACACTTATAGTATTATGGATTGGTTGGAGAGAAACTCTATTGAGGTGGAGGAGCATCCCCCTTATTCTCCTGATTTAAATCCTATTGAGCAAGTATAGGTTGAGCTTAAAAAGCACTTGCACTAACAGTATCCCAGGATTACAAATACCCCATGAGGAAAGAAAGCTGTAAAGTGTATCACATGCGTAAAACTCATAACTCATAAATATAAGTCATATGTAAAAGTTATAACATCATATGACTCACAACTGTGAGTTATTACATAACAATAAACACCAATAACTCACAAGTGTAAGTCATGTGAAAACCTTTATTCCATCTCTTCAATCTGCCTTGTCACAATCCGGTTTGTGACAAACCCTTATTGAAAAATGTAGAATAAAATAAATATCTTGCCAGAGGAAATATAACACCTGTTTTTGGTTCTTACCAAACACCTACTCAATATAAAAGTTTTAGATAGAAAAATTTATACTATAAAAACTATGTTTATAACATAAAAGTAGTATACCGAACAGGCCCTAATGAATAATAATTATTATATAAAAAATATATTCTATTTTAGTATACTATTTTTATTATAATTATAAAGTTAACTTTTAAGTATAAATTTTGTAAACTTAAACTTTTTAAATTAAGATATACTTAGTATATAGTACAAAATTATTATGGTATTTTATTACTTTCCAATGAAATTATGTTGAGAATATAAAATAAATATTTCTTGAATAATATTATTACACAATTTTTTCAAATTTTCTAATAGGCTTTTTTATCTGAAAATTGACTAAAGCATTCTAAATTTGAAAATAAAGAAATCAGATAAATAAATTTACTTTTATACTAGGTTTTGCTAACTACTTGTTTAATTATGAGAGATTTATACAGCAATTTGAATATGTTCTAAGGAAAATGATTGGAATGCTTCAAGTATTTTAAGAAAGGTTGAGATTAAATATCTATAAGGATACTATGAAAGATTTTTTATGAGGATATAAAAGATAAATATATTTTTGTATTTTCTATTAGAGTACAAGAATGTGTAAGATGAGACGTAATTTACTATCCCTAAATATCCCTATAAATCATGACATTAGTCAAAGATAGGTTTAATTTGGCAAGTTAATGGGATTGTGAATGCCAGTTAATGAGATCCACTAGAGCTAGGCTATACTGTGTTGGGAAGGCACTAATACCTCTTAAGTACCTTTCTCTTTGAATCCCGAGATTAGCGACCTAACAGGGATAGCGAATCGCAAGAGTTTTACGGTGCTGCATCCCGCATCGTGCTATGTCTTTCTTTTTTTCTATTTGGGCTTCACGTTGGGTTGAAATTTCCTTTTGTATCTTGTCCTCATTTGTTGCTCCGTTCGACCTCTTCCTCCCTCTTCCGTTCCCTTTCCCCTTCTTTTCTTCTATCCGGCCCCGCGTCCTCATCTCTCGGTTCATCTCTTCCCTCTCCCCCCTTCCTCCCTCCTCCTCCCCATCCCCTCCCCCCACCCACGTTTGACGATCCTTATCTATCTACGGTACCGATATCGTCATCGAGACACCCTCTGGGCTGGGCCAAAAAGGTTAGGAAAGAAGAAACTGGAAAGAACGAAACGAAGGGAGAAAAAGAACCTGGGGAGAATCTGGCTAGCGGTATAATACTATTTTCTCGAGAATCACGAGTTTGCCTTTGGGGGGAGGTGGTGGATTTTCGATTCGAGAGGCTGTACTCTCTTTTCTTTTTTTCCTTGCTTCTTTCGTACGGTCGGAAAAACGCTGGGCACTAGAGATTTGAGGATTACAAACACAGAAGTGGTAACATACAATCGCCGCTTTTTGTTGTGAGAAAGAGGTAAGAAGAAAAAAAGTCATGATAACCATCTTTTTCTCCCCACCCTTTGTTTTATCGACGCGAGGGGATGATTGATAGATTTTAACTCTGAAAAATTTAGGTCATTTCATGGGTTCAGCTGATACTAGATAACCCCGCCCCCTCATTACGACGTTTTTGTTTGCGTATCCTTTCTCTTGTGAGGAGAGAGAATTATCGCCCTCAGCCTCTCAGCCTGAGTAGTTAGTCGAAGAAATTAAGCCCATTTAGTAAGCCACACGAAGAGATACATTTTTGGGGCTGCTCTCTTGGAGTCTTTTTCGCTTCTCTCACTTCTTGTCTTGCTCTATTTTCCCACACCTACCCTTTTCGGTTCCCCTGCCGCGCGGGGAAAGGGGGAATTTCCTTATCCTGGGTTACGAAACCCCCCTCCATCGAGCACTTTTATTAGTTGCTCATCGCGCGTGGTTATAACATTCGACTCACAAAAGCGGGGGGAAGTTTGTGCTTGTTTGCAAACATATCACTACTGGACTCCTTTGCCTGTTTCCTCCCCCCTCCCCCCCCACGTACGGAAAAGGTACGAGGAAGAGAGAAAGGGAAAAAATTGGTTGGTTGGGGTTGTGTTTTTGTTTATGTTGTGATTGTTTACGGCCAGGAGGATTTATCTTGGCTGCGTTCTCAACTGTCGAGCTCAAGCTAGCTCGGCTTGTGTTTTGTGGTCGCGTTTTGTACAAAACCGGATCGACGACCTGCGACGCCCACGCACGGAGGACGTATCCGGGATCTGTAGACAGGAATTTTTTTTGTTCCATTGTTCCCAGTGTACCAGGCGAAAGAAAGGGAGGAGCAGGCACTGCAGCACAACAAGCGGCAGCCACGCCGCACGCAACGAAGCAGCTCCGTCATCTGTCACCAGTGTATTTCACCCCGACTTCGCCGCGAAGATCGGGGTAAGGCTATCGCGTGCACTGCCCTTCGACGTAGGCCTTTCTTGGCTGAACTTACAGAGGGACCTTCTTGAGAACATCCTTTCTCTCTGTTTATCCCCCACCCCTACTATCGACGATACGCTCATCTTTTATCGGGTTTCTTCTGAACACCATCTACAACGTCAAACAAGATGGCTTCCGTTGTGCCTCCTTATCACTACCATCCACCTCGGCATCCGGGATCATTCGTCCCCACTACACCCCGCTCCTCAACATCGTACTATCCATCCTCAACATCAACCGTGCCGACTTCTTACTCTGTCACCGGCCCGCCATCTTCGATATCGACTTCTTCATCACCTCGCTTGAACCCTGGGCTTGCTGCCGCGCGACATGTTACAAAAACTCCTGGAAAATTGCACAAGCGCGGACGGTCATTTTTGAAAAATAAGGAAGAGACTGTCGACGACGTGGATGAGGGATTTTTCTCGGGCCCTGGTTCACCTCCACCGTCGTTTGATCACTTCGAACAGCCCTCGCTCTCGCACTCTCATCCGGCTTCCGTATCGGTTGCTGCGCACAAGGCTCGTGGAAAAATAAAGCCGCTTCTGAAGAAAGTTAGCGGATCTCGTTCAAATTCTCTGGATCTGTCCCGATCGGATGGTGGACTTCCAAATGGTGTCGGATTGGGTATTTACGATGGAACTGGATATGACTCGAGTGGGATCGAAGATGATTCGCCCTTCGCTTATCGGCATCGGAGAAATTTTTCACAAACCAGTGGGAGCTCTCCTTTACTCGTTGGCGCTAACCAAACGTTTTCTCACCCTAAGCGGCAGCTTCCAAGAAGGGGCGGGTATACACCAGATGTCACGCAGTATAACACATCGAATGAGTCGAGTGACGAGTCAGATGGTGAGCATACTCTGGATAGGACTCGGAGGAACGCGTTGGGAGGCAGCAAGTTGCCAGTTCCAGGTGGACTTCACTTGAATACAGGAAGGAGTACTCCCATGTTGCCTACTTTAAGCATGACGGATCTACACCAAAGGGCCAGGACCCCTAGCATTCAAATGACCACACCTATATCACCTGTATCACCTATGGATCTACCTTCAACGGTATTTCCATCTAACGTATCACAACACGGTATTAAGGCCTCCTTCAAGCGCTCTCACAATAGGGCCCGGTCGTCGCTGGACAAATCAGTACCGGAAACAACCCCATCATTTGAGGCATCTGTCACCGCAGCACGGCTGGCATGGGAGGCGAAGGAGGAGAAAAAGGAAGAAAAGAGGGAACGCAAAAGGCGGCGTTCTGAAGCTAAGGAGGAGGAGCGATCAAGGGCTACTTCACGTTGTTCAGGCCGTGGACGAGGAAATTCCGGGTCGAGCAATCAACAGCACTGGTCGCATGAGTCGGATTTTGGCGATAATATTGCCATTGGTGGTGTCATAAAGGAGAAGGTTGGAGGGTTTGATGGGAGCCGTGCCAGCAGTAAGTCACGCAATGATAGTCGCGGTCGTCACGGTACCGGCAAGAAGTGGGGATTATCCGGAAAGAGCGAAGCACCGAACCCGAAAGGTAAAAGGCCTGGGTTTAAGAAGCGCTGGCTGGGGTTCGTTGTTTGGGTTCGGATCGGAGTGGTTAGGATGCAGCGGAGATTGGGCTTTTAGAAAAATGGAGGTTTCTTGAAAACGAGGCTTCTTTTTAGGTGTTTCTTTCTTTTGTTCCTTTTTTTGTTCTTCCACGAGGTTTCCATGTGAATACGGGTTCTGACGCTTGTTCGAGTCTTCTTTTTTTTGGCTCTTCTGTTCTCTCTCGTCTTGTCTTTTGCTATGCTTATAGACATGGACTTTAGCGGGGCTTTTCTTCTTTCTTTTCTTACACCACAGGAGAAACAAGAAAACACCCAAAGGAAAAAAATGGGCTTTCTCTTTTCATTATGGTTCTTTTCAACGCATTCATTTATGTCTTTTACGAAATGGGGTTTTTTTCCTTCGAATATGGTCGGCTGTTTATTGTTCATTTTCTGTTTTCACTGTTTTTTTTTCGCACTGGGGGTTGGGGTTTGGAAATTTGCTTTGAACACGTGTATATTGGGTTTTTCTTTTTCTCACTTTTCATGTTTTCTCTTCTGGTTCATTGCGCCCCAGCCGCTCCAGTCTGTCGGGAGGTGTTGGCGAAGTTTGTAGACTTTGGAGGACGTTGTACGTTAGTCAGCCCGAGATGGGCTAACATACCTTGGGCCAGCCGTTCACTCGTTTGCGAGAAGCAAGGAATTGAATGGATTACCGAAGAAAATCAGGAAAAAATCTTATGATAGATTTTTATTTCGGTTTTTATTATTTGGTTTTTTTGGGTTTGTAAGTTGGGTTTAACTTACAGTGCTTTATGTCTTTATCACGTCAAGGGTAGCAAAAACAGAACAAAACAAAGCATAACTGTTACTGTAAACAGGACGAACAAAAATTGTGCCTGGCCCGGTCAAGTCTACCGCATCAGACAAGTATTTATCCATCCCTTCGGGATTGTTCTGCATGAAGTATTATTTGGTCTGCTTTTCCCACCGAGTCGTCCATACTTTCTTCTTCTACGGAGGTGGTTGCTGATATGGTAAGCACCAATGGACTGGATCTTGGTCGAGATCTGTCATAATATTACATGAGTTCCGCTGCCCTAACAGTAATTTGCGGTACAATGCCGGTATCAGGGACGTTTTGCTACGATGTCGTAAATACGAACTATGCTTTTTTTGTGGCGAATTATGTACGTTGCAACGACATCAGAAGTTTTGCTAAGCAGAGTACTGTACACTACCGTACCTGTATGGAATGGAACATTGTATATGATACCGGTGGGTTGAAAATCTTTCAGTCCAAGTTACGACCGTCGTGGCAAAACCTCCCTATTGGCATTGGGCTTTCGCTGCGCTCAGTGGAGTTTGGGAGAGTTAAGTCTAAGTTAAGTTGTTGCTGGTACTGTGCACTGCTCGTGCTGAAAGTTATGCTGCTCTGTAGTCTCTTCCCCTTCCCACATTTCACATGATACGAGGACTGACGATGCTACCTACTCACAATGTATAAATAAAACTTTTAATGGAGTTAATGGAATCACTTCCCAGGATTCGTACTTGCACTCTGGCTAGGACAAAGACTTTTTAATGCCTGTAGTTTCCCCCACAGCAATCATTTAGCATCTGTATGATTTGGAAATACTGTAGTTCCTTGTCAGCTGCCAGCATCCGATGTCCTGTCCCCCCAAAAATACAATTTCGTCAGCATAAAGAGAGTTTTGTCCCAATGACTAGCCCTGTCAGCAATGATATAGGGCAGGTCTGCCGCTTAGTTTTTTCTTCTTCCAAACAAGATGAGTTATTCGGAGAGAAAATTTCAACAAAACTATGAGCTATATACATAATAAGCAATATACCGCAGTCTAAATGTGATAATTATAATTTTTAGGAGTATCTCCTCTGTAATACTTAAGTAGAGGGGGTAAAGAACTATTCACAACCTGTCATAATGTGGTCAATTGTCTGTGAACACAGATATAGAGAAACAGCTGTTAAAATAATCTAGCATGAATAGAAATGCTAATGTGATCTAAATTGAAGGTTACTGACTAACAGCTCCTAATACCGGAAAAGAGAAAATTACTACAAGTAGTATAATTTGAACTCTCGAAATCAAGCTTTTCCCACAACTCTCCTGTATCCATTTTTACTTTTGTACTTCCTATTGAGTCAGGTATAAAAAACCACACCTCCTTTACTGGAGGGAAATCAAGGTTAACTTATTTGCCCTAGTTACTTTTAAGTCTGTAGGCAATTTGAGGTGTCCCAAGTGGTCTGTGGCTAAGGTAGTACTCGCAGGTTTGTCCATCATGAATTATCACTCACTTTATTTCTGGCACCCCTGTTGAGAATTACTCCTCTGAGTTGATGTGTCGCGAGAGAAGTGTCTAGGCTTCCTACTCACTATTGCGTATGCTGGGTTGTACTGGGTGGTACGTGGAAGTGTGTATTCCGTATCACTAGTCATGTGACTAGGTTTGGGCATGACTATATACCGTTCTTGTTTCGCTTAGCTAGCTGTAAGACTTAATCAATAATCTTCCGCTGCACAACAAAAACGTCCAATTCGTAACAACCCCTTCTGCTAAGCCTATTCCCTATTTTCCAAACCCTTTTACTTCCAAGAGATCTAGTCTCCCAAAGACCTGATGATAGCGGGGCTTTCACTGTACTGCACTCTTGCAGCATTGGACGCCTTTGATCACGCCCGCTGCATTCGGGGCAACCGAATAAAGAAAGTAGGACGGGGAGCGCTTACTCACCAAAATAAGGGATTTTCGCACTGATATCTACTAGGGTTTTGCCTTGGGGAGAAAACAATTTCATACATATACTTGTCCCAGAACCTCCCCCACCTTATTTCTTCGTGTTTTGGGAACGCAAATATCGCTTCTATGCCAGTAATTTCGGGTAGAATCGCGACTCGAAAGTCTTCTCAATGCCATGCCAAAGATAGCGGTTATGCAGTTATATAGATGGGGACTCATTTGATAGGGAATTTCTAAAGTCTATGTAGGTAATTCTGCGAGAAAATTGAAGCTGCCTCTGCAATGTTTTGTATTTAAAATGTCTTTGGGCAGTTGATTGTTTCCGATGCATGTCTCTTTTTTTTGTGGGGAATGGGGGATGTGCTCGGGCAAACCCGTAAAAGGTGGGAGGCCTGAAAACCAACAGCCAGGCGTTACCTGGTTTAACTAGAACAACGTGTGACAAATGCTGACAGGGTAGCCCGAGATCTATCTCCCTTGAGGCTTCGTTCCTGCTAACTGCCCGTTCTTGTGTCTCTTCTCCTGGCAAACGAGATTTTTTAGACTCATTCTACCTCTAAGAAACATGGATTCAAGCACGGAATTCCTTGAGTTCGTATTTTCACAGAGCCCCAGGGATTTCAAAACCGTATACGAATCGTTGGCTCTCAAACCTTATCAGATCTTCGACCTTCTCTTGAAGGAAGAGTGCTTTAAAAATTTCTTCTCAAGAATAGAAGTTTATGGAAACAATCTTGCCTGCCTCTTAAGTCAATTTCCTAGCCCCCAGAATTACGATTACAGTACCTCGCTATTACGGGAAGTTGTTAGAGCCTTTACTCTCTCATTACTCACTGAAAGGTTCGATGATTTGAAGTCTAGGTGTGCAGTTGCAAGAATTGTCGTCTCAGTTGTAAAATTATCGGATCCCGAAACCTTAGGACATTTTGGCATGAGATTGGGGGCTCTCCCTGAGATAATGCGCATTTTGATTGTGGAAGGGCATATGAAGAATTTAGCCCTAACTCACAAAAAGTGCTTTGAGGGTCTCATTTCCGAGCCCCAGGCCAGGGGAATGTGGGCTGAATTTATTATTGATCTCTGCAGGGGATGTGCAGTCCACAGGTCGGGGACTAGGGGAACTAGTAGCGTGGAGTTGGCGAAGTTTATTCGCATGATTCCTTGCAAATCCTGTACTTCAAACAATTCCTTCGATAACGGGCTGAATCGGGATTCCGAGTGGGGACCTACGCGATCCCGGGGCCGCCACTTCGGGTCGGACATGGAGTCGAATATACTCAAATCCCTCTTAGGTGAGGCTCTGGGACTATGGAAGATAATTCTTTCCCAACAGGCCATGGAGAATCTGGGAGCGGAGATCACACAAGGTGCTTGCTCCGGTAAACCGGAGGGTTTTGGAAATTGCTGATCTTAGTTAGGTAACCTTAAGGATATTCGGGGCGCTTTTTCCGACATCGCCTCTGGAGACTGGGATGGAAAAAGAATACTCCATAAGGCAAAGTGGAACAACTCACTTAGCTATCGAATTCCTTTATTCAAAGCTTTCTACAAAATTGCGCATTTTATATTATGGCAAATCGATATCGCGTTTGATGAAAGGTATTGCAAAGATTACCAGGTTATAAAAGGTTCGAATCCCTCTGAGATTGGCCTCATAAGTAGAGAGCTAACAACAAGTAACCGCTGTCTAGTATGGGCTATTGGAAAGCCTAAAAATGTATGTGTCTAGTCCTAGAGCGATGTAGCTGTAGTAATATTGAGGATGGAGTAGATGGATAGAATTGGTGTGCAGATTCATCGGGCGCATCAAGCCTATACGGAAGCTCGAGTGGAGGCTTGCAACAGAGTCGATTTGGATGGGTCACAGGAGGTCAGGTATCCAGTAGAGGTATACTTGGGTGATGATCAGGGTGGGGGTATGGAGATTGGTGATACTAGCGATGATGATTTCGATGATTCAGTTCAACTAGGTAAAGAAGTCGCAATAGCTCTACTTGAATTGGTTCTAGGGTGCTAAATTTGGGGTTAATAGCAAAGTTTTATAGCCTCACTACCACTGTTCTGGACAACATTTCTTCTACAGCGGGAATGGTGGCATACCCAGTAGTCATATCGGCGGAGGAGGCCGCAGTTGTGGATCACTTCCTCACCCCAGCCTTCATTCTCGGGAGAAGCGGGACCGGAAAAACCACCTGCTTGGTTTATAAGCTAGCAGGAAGGTATATAAATAGTACAGAGAATGGAGCACCATTGAGACAGGTATGTGATCACAGGAAGTTTGAGACTGGATCACACCCGGAGAGTGTAGCGTTGACTGGCTAACACTCATAGATCTTACTGACGAGGTCAGGAAGATTGGCGTCAAAGTTAAGAGCCAATACCGACGGATTAATTGAGGCGAGATTGGGCGAAAGGCAAAGGCCTCCTGGGGTTAATTATACCAAAAATGATGATTTTGATGGAAACACGAGAAAACAACTCTCATCACTCACGGATACGGATTTTCCTTTAGTATGCACTTTTGATCACCTGTTAAGGCTTATTGAGAATAGTATTAGGTTTGTTACTCTTCTGCTTGGATTGTTACTAGAGTAGGCCTGCTAACTCTCTCTTAGAGAACAGGAAATCCTGCAAAGATATATAAAGATAGACAATTTTAGGCGCGGTGGGGTAATCGACTTTCTGAAGTTTAGTATTGAGTATTGGGGACAGCTGTCCCCAAAATTGAAGAAAGGTATTCCGGTGGAATTGGCATTTCTTGAAATCATGGGAGTTATCAAGGGATCAGCTTCGCAGGCTACGGGCTTTGAACCATTATCTCGTGAGCAATATTTGAGAAAGCGCTGGAGGCTAGCCCCGAACTTTGCCTCAGACATGGAGAGAAATACTGTCTATGACATATACGAATGGTATGAAAGAACTAAGGGGAAACGTGGTAATATTGATCAGGCGGATAGAATTATAAGGGCTATGGGGGCTTTGG